GTTGCCCCCCCCCCCCCATGAGAATTCCTTCCTTTGTCTGTTTGACCCGGTCCTCCATCCCGACTTGCATGAATCATTATGCTGTTTTACATCTCATTTTACTTCTGAAAGAAAACAAAACTGGTGTAACTGAATCTGAACTCTGCAACTAGAACAGACTAGAAATGAGTCAAGGGATTTGTGAATGACTGCAGTGTTCATAATTTACAACATGCCCAGTTTCATGTAAACACATGCTATTAATGCAACAATTATTACCAAGTCTTTTCACCAGCATAAGTCATAATGTGCTATAATGTAAGCAAACTGAATGTCAAATACTTCTATAAATACTCAGTTTGCATAAGCTATCTGTATTACCATGAAATCATACAGAAGTAACATTTATGGATGTGACAGGTTAGCCTCATGCTCTAACCACCTCCAGAGACAGTCCCAAACACCCTCAGAATAAGAGAATGGGTTGATCCTACAGCCATATGAAATGCTGTGAAGAGACAAATCCCAACATACGGTCCTTTCACCTTTGCAGCTGATGCAGTGTTAAAAATACAAATCTTGGCTTCCATTTCCCTATGTTTCACCAATCATACAATGAGGACCTGTGAACTGCAGGAAGTCGCAGTGTGATGGAAGGGGAATAAAAGAAAGGTAGTAGGACGTAGGAAGGACATTATAATGATGTTATGGAAACAGCATACAGTTCTATGAACTAGCTTAGGATCAGTTAGTTCCACATGTAACTATAAGTGCACATGTGCCACATCACATAAGGACAAAATAAAACTACATCTCTGCTTAATCACCATTCCATTATGAAGCCTAAGTACAAACACAATTTTATTTAGCCTTTACATATCAGAGTCACATGATTTGCAGCTATGAGGGAGACAGTCCCTGGTTTACTGGGTTGGTGAGTTGAAGCCATCATTTTGCTACAGTGAAATATGGGCCCTGAAGCCAACCAGCACTAGACTGTTCACTATCCCAAGAACTGTCTTTTGCATCACCACGCACACACTCGTTTCTATTGCTGTGGGCAAGTGCTCATTCCTTTCTCACGTCATTTTCACATAACATGCATTTGGCAAGAATAGTCAAATGTCTGTCTTCTGGTACATCTCCAGGAACAAGTGACAGCACAGACCGGAGCGCACTGCTGGTCCACGTGCTCGTTTGGTCAGGAGTGTGCAACTTCTCAGGCTGTCTCACAGCACACCCTCAATTTTATCCTCTTACAAAATCAAAATTAATTTAAATTGTAACCTATTCCATAAAATTGAGAAAAAATAATCACAAGGCCCAGGTCTGCATGCCCCTGACCATCTGTGACCCACCTGGTGTCAACAGTCTTCTTCAAAACACAAACAAATGATGATACTCTGGACAGTGTGCCTGTCTGCCCATATCCAGACTGTGCACGTATTTCAGGAACTCAGATAAACACAACTTGAAAACTGAAGTAACAAACACAGTTTTCCTGGAATGCACGCACAAAATAATATATGTAGTCTTGTCCAAGTACGAAGAGTTAATACTAACTTCTTAAATTCTGGAATGATGCAAGTTGTTCTCTGTTCAATGATTTTTTATGCAGTCACCGAGACAAAAATGTGAACTCCCTCACACTAGAAAAACAATTCACAGCAGAAGAAAATCTCACAAAATAAAACAATTCACAAACTGGTCTGTGTGCCTACAATACACTAACAGACCAACATCCTGGCCGCAGCAATTCATCAAGTTTAAATGGCACCAACATAACTTTTGCAGGTCAGTGTAACAGACATACTGCAGTGAATGGTCCATCCTCTTGCACAGTGAAATACTGATGTCACACAATTTATATTTTATTTTTTCATGTTCACTTATAAGGATGACTTGTATGAGTAATTCATCTCAATTTCTATGATAATGTTGATGAACATTTCAATGTTTGCTGCTAACACTAACTCTTTTGATAAGAGAGGCACAGCTTTTGCACATCATGTCGTCCGCACAACCACAGAATGAGCACCTGGCTGTCACTTGCATCAAGAGGCTTGGGACCTCCCCCATAATCACACAATGTTTTGCTTTGTAACCCAACATGTTTCCAGACCTTGTACGCCATCCCTACCCTCTACTGCATGTCTTTTGTTGGCTACAATACTGAGGAACAAAATAATTTTTAAAAGAGGATTAACTGGGGAACACCTCTCATTCTGCCACAACACGTGCTATGTGAAACTGATTTTTGGAAAAACGGTTCTTTTCATAATCCTGGTACCTCAATACAACAAACATACAAAACACAGCTGCAAATCGTACCACCCTCGCCACCACAAAAAAACCCACAAAAGGAATAAAATAACAGTTTATTCAACAGCAACTGATATCTCTCATTTCTCATACAAAACATGTGGACTGGAGGAGAAATTGAATGTATAATCTGTTGAAATTAAGTTGTCAGGCAATTAATGGAAAAAATAATCATAAAAATATACTGTAAAGCAATAATTGTCACTCTCGGATATAAAAATAGATTTAACACTGAGCTGTACACAGACAGATAATTATGACACAATACCAATGTGTGAATTCAAGATTCGGTCCCCACACAGACATTGTGCGATATGAGCAACGGTGTGAAAATGGAGTCAACAAAACAAGAACCCCAAAAATTAATTTTCATTTACTTTTTCACTCTATGCAGCAGAATGATGACAACAACCACACATGATTATGAGGAGAGGTGAAGCTTTATGTAATAATAAATTACAGTTTCTCTCTACTTATTTACAAAATACGAACTATCTAGTTGACGAAGGAAAAAATGGAAACTACTAACACACAGGCCACCTCACCAGTCCAACATCAATGTCACGAAACATAAATTAATATATGCTTGGTAATCCAAACGAAAGACTGCAGTTTGTTCATTCCTCTCAATGTACAAGTGTGTTCCTCATACGATTCGCCCGACGATGCACTCGCAACACTCGCACAAATGAAAACAATTGACAAAGTATATTGCCACTTAACTATCTGGTTAATATTTGCCTTCATTATAAAGATTCCTCAAAAGCGGCCATAAGGTCACTCTGCATGTTCATGTCAATTTGTCCAGCCATCTGAAAAAGAAAAAAACATTCACCTCCAATATCCAGTTAAGGGTATGAATAAACACAAGCAAGTAATACAATTTCAGCAAAAAAGATACACTCCTTGCGCATGAAGACCTCCCTTCTAATAAGGTATCCTTCTGCCTGCTGACACTACCTGCAGGTTCAACGGTATCATCAAAACATTTAATAAAGTATGCTTCACTTACTGCTTCTCTTCGACGGCGTTCCTGCTCACGAAGCCGCTGTCGTTCACGTTCAGCAGCAGATTTATCTGGGACTTGCTGGCTGGGGTTAACACTCTCTGGGGGTGGCGATGTCTTTGCATCCTCCTGTCTTGATTGTTGTTGTTGTTGTTGTTGTTGCTGCTGTTGCTGTTGCTGTTGTTGTTGTTGCTGCTGCTGCTGCTGCTGCTGCTGTTGCTCCTGGGCAGCTTTTCTGCACACAGACAATACAACACCGTAAGGCTGTGCTACTACCACACTAAATGAATAGGTTCTGTAACATTACAAAATGAAAGGTAATATACTGCACTCACCTGGCTTTCTCAAGGGCCTCCTCTTCTTCGCGTTCCCTCCGTTTCTCATTCTCGAGACGCAACCTCTCTCTCTCCTGCTGCTCTTTCTGGACACGGCGTAGTTCCTGCTGTTCAATCAGTGCACGTTGCTGCAAACAAAAGAACTGCATTAGCAAGATATTATGTATGGCAAATTAAACTGATATCACCAACACTGTTTAGAACGTGCAGACCCAAAGATGGCAATTTCCAATGCAAACTGTGCATTATTAAATGTCCACATACCTTTTGACACATATAAAGCCCCATAAAATATTCAAATACAAATTCAGTGATATTAAATGACCAATGGAAATTTCCCACATAAATGCTACTCTGTTGAATGGCTCTGACAATACCATACTTGAAGATAACAGTTTTGGTGTTAATGGCAAGGGTGCTCTGTTGACTTTCAAGCTAGACCTGAATGTGTCAAGTGAAGGACGCAGTAGTGACAGTCGTGGATACATACCCGATCCATCTTCTCCTTTGCCTGCTTCTTGAAGGCCTGGAAGCTGTTGTCCATGGTAGACTTGAGAGAGGAGGTAGTGGGACCAGATGTGTTCTGTGGAGATGATGCTTGGGCAAGAGAAGACCAGGAGCTGGCGTTCTTCACGTTCTGTTCCAGAACAGGTGACAGCTATAAAGTACAGCGCACAACGCCCCCACTGATACATCAATACACAACCAAGTCACTAAACCTAGCTTGCACAGTAACAACATAAAGCTCTTGCTTAATGACCACCACAAAACATAATCTTTCTATAATTTTTGGTGTTCTTCTTTTGGGTTACAATTATTTTGGATCACTAGGAGAGAGCTCAGTCTTTCAACATTTTCTTCCCCATTTTTCATGTTATTAGTGAAATGAGTAATTCTGTCAATTTCAGAAAATGATACGTACATCATCATCCCAGTATCAGGTCTAGTTTGCCTGTCACAGATATTACTTACTATGATATAAGAGTGATGTGCCCTCTTCCTTTGCTGCAGACACCCCCTTGAAGAGTGGGGATTTCAATGTTTAAGCAGAGTTGTCCTATTGAACTTGGACCCTATATGTGACAGTATTTTGGTCTAATATTACACAGCATCAGTATTCACTACCGAAATGTACTTACAAAGAAGCAGCTTGGTTTACGAGGCAGAGCCTGTCCCTGAATCTGAGGTAAAAGCAGACTATGTAATGGAAATAATTCATAAATGTACTTACAAAATTCTTCCTAGCATTTGTTTTTGTTTGAATACTTCCAGCTCTGTTACAGTTATGTCTGGCAACTTTCAGGTAGCATAAATTATGCACAAAGAAATACGATTAATAATTTTACGTATATGCTAGTCTCCCCGAACATATGAAAGTAGAATCTTTAGTTTCGGGAGGGGGGTCCTTACCGGCTGAAAACCAGCTGATATGGCTAATGCTTTCAAAATCAAGTGGTCAATTACGGCATAAAAAAGCATGACAGTCTATGGCAGAGGAAATGCTGCATTGACTTTAAAGACCATTAATATTTTCAGAAATAGGCAAATGATGGCTACATCACTAATATTGTGTGGTTCACCATATCATTCAATGTTAAATAATTAATTGTTGTTGACAAACACCTCAAATGTAATACCTGGTTATGAAATTAAACAGCTTGCCTTATATTGTTACTGGCAAAGTATCGTTACTTATATATCCATAACCCTCAATTACTAGCCTGGGGTCATAATAAGTCCCCTGATCAATGATGGAAGGGGGGGGAAATAGTGAAACAACATGACTGGTATGACAACTGTGCTTCAGGAATTTTAGCTAATTTTGTGTTCTTGAATTATATGACCCCATGCAAGTAATTAAGTTGCATTTTATATTAGGTAAATGTTTCAAGAATTAAATTTATCACTAGCAAAATAACTGAAACATGACTGGTTTTCCCAATCAAATTGTTTTCAATCACTTTAAATTTATAATTTCTCTCAACTTGAAGCTCATGATGATGAGATACATGATTATTTGGAAAATGTGGAAGAAATTAAATAGGTAGATGGATGAATTAAAAGCAAAACTTAACAAGATCAAGAAGGATATACCAAATGTAAGTTCTGGTATGAATGTGCAATGCACAGAAAATGATGGTAAGAGTGAGACATGAGTCAAGACTGATAACAAATATAATATTAGATGTTTATTCATAATGTGTATGCACAACATAAATATGCCATTCATCTATGTATACTAGCTTTCATTTGTTTACTGGAAACTTTTTGTAACACTATATATTATTCAACTATTTACCTTGTTTATAACAAACAGTACATGCTCTGCATTTAAACATGAACAAGTAACATTTCCTTAATAAAACCAACGAAAAACATAAAGGGCCACAATGACCCCCCCATACAAATTATTACATCACTCTATATAAGTAGTTAAGGGTTCAAAATTCTGCATTAACACAGTATGACAGACATACCTTCTGCCAGACAACCTTGAATAACAAAACATGAAAAGTACACTCCAATATGCAGTAAACCCATTTTCCTCAGAGGTCTTGATTTACATCCATTGCAAATACAAAGCTATCAAAAGTACAGACACTGCACTACATAATCATGAATTTGCCGCAAAGAGAGTCAATAAACAGCACAGTCCCTTCAGGCAGGGAAATGCACTATGTCGTGCATAATTATATTCAATGAAAGTCATGACATAGTATCAGAACTTTACAAAATGATGACCACATTCTTCAGCCTTCAGGAGACACAATATTAACTTTCACAAAATTGTCAACTGAATTTGTTTTTACGTTCACCAAACCCAACAAAAAATGAACATAACTGAACTCAATCTGATGGAGAATCTAGGTGTATGTCCAAATATAAGAAAAAGCAATTTTCTTAATGTAATTAATTGCATGCGTAAAGAGACCACATTTCATTTTCACCGCGGCGAGAACCTCAAACTTCAAATCTCACACACTGCAATATAAAGTTACAGCTCATCTAAATCACCTTTGAAGCCAAAAAGGAATCTAAATAATATTTAAAATTCACTCCACATCTTAAAGAAAACACAATTCTACATTAAAAAAATCAACTGGTTAATGATGTTTAAGGGAACAATAACTGAGAATCATACAAAATTCATAAATACAAACACAAAACAAGATTTACTGATTGTTAAATCAGGTGGTAGATATAGTTACCACTGGGCTTACAAGGTTAAGAACACTGCACTAGAACTGTTGACTACAAACAAATAATAGTAACAAAAACATTAAGTCTAATGCCATGCTTTCATTTTGTAAATGCAACCCAATACAAGTTAGGAAATATATGCATTATATAAAAATTCTGATGCATTCGCTCTTTTATTTCCTCAGTAGCTTAAATTTGTGTGGTAGGACCTCCAACAACAAATTTGATCAAAATCAAGAAATACACAAGTTATATGCAAATTGCACTTGAGGTGTGTGCAGAAATGCATGTAGGCCTGTGAGGTGGATTTTAACAAAAACTGTAATGTGCTAAGAAACTTTAGTGAAGTCCATTATACCAAAATGCATAAAAAACCATTCTATGGTTCTCCAGTACTTATATACGGACAGATAGACATGGTGATGCAAATAGGCACATTTCCGTAACTTTTCACTGCAAACGTGCCAAAAAACAATAACCAAGTAAACTTTTATCCTGAATTTCCAGGGTTCATGCAATACTGACAATCACTTCACAGGAAAAAGTTGTTTACATACATAGGCCACAGCCAAGGCATAAATACGAAACAGGAAAGTGACACAATGCTATGACTGGAAATCACGACTGTTTCAGAGGTCTTTCTGCCTCCATCATCAAGGCAATAAAGAGGGACCAAGGACCTCCAAAATGTTGGTGAACTTCTACCAGACTACACAGTGCCATAACCCAGAAGACAGCAATCCTTGTACTCACCACCGTAAAAACCTCAAATCCTACTGGGATTAACCATATTCAGATATTCATAACTGCACTGAAATGCAGTGCCTACAAACAGATCTCTTGGCTCTTATGTGGCTTGATGACACAGCACATGCTGGTAACACAAAAAATTAGATAAAACTAACCTTGTTTTTGAAAGCTGATGCAAAGTTAGCTGCTGATGTCTTGGTTGATTCTGGAGGAGTCATTTGCTTCTCAACCGGTGTGGAATTGTTCAACAGCCCTGAAATACACAAATTACTGACATATGTTCTAGTTGCAGTATTGGTCCACACCACATTCTAGCTCAGATTTCTAATATTTCTGGTCTTCAATGGACTGAATTGAATTATATACTGATATCAGACTAATCTAGATTTACTTTGGATTGGATTAAATTGGTCTGGATCAGATAAGTTTGAAACAGATTGGTTCTATTTGGTATGAAATGGATTCATTTCGTCTGATTACGTCTTGTGAAATTAGAATAGACCAGCTTAGCTCAGGGAGACATAAATATTATGTAGTTTCACACATTATTTCTCTCATTTGCTATGCCGCGATATGACGAGAACATCGGGATACACTACTACTTGAAAACAACGGCCAATTAAAACGTAGTGCGAAGAAAATTGATAAAATGTTGCATCTAAATCCAAGATAACCCTTCATTTTTCAAATATAATAATCAAGGGAAAAAATCTCCTTCCTTTTCGGTAATTATGGTTAAACTTTACTTTTGATGTCTGCAAGCGCATTGCGATGTGGAATTACATGATGTAGATGCATGTTGACTCACCATCACTGACAGGCTTATTTGCTGTGGGTTGCATGACAGTTGGCAACACTGGCTTCTCTTCTTTCTTCACCACTTGACTTGGTATCACTGTAGTGGCAAGAGTGGTTGCTGGGAGTGGATCAAAAATTGAAGGTACTCCTGTTGCCATCTGCATGCCATTGTTGTAACCGCCGAGAGGTGGGCTTGGTTCTGTCTTTATCGGTTGCATGGCCGAAATACTGGCAACGTGTGGGAAACCATTATTGGAATGCTGCTGTGGAGTTGGTGGGGAGGCAGGCATAGACATGTCAAAGCCTGGATGCATAGTTATTGGAGCACTGACAATGCTGGAAGCAGTCGTCACTATCAGAGGCATTTGTGCCAGGGGATCTACAGGGACCACAGATGACTTGCTGTTGTACTCAGGGGCCACGAGATTGGCCACAGGGACAGGAGTCAGGGCGACTGTTGAAGCTACAGCAGGTGCCACTGTCGTGCTGGTGTTTGTACTCGTTACTGGAAGAGTGAAGCTGTCAGTCTTCATGGCGATGGTGGGCTCAGCAGCTGTTACAAGCAAAAAGGACAATCAGCTTACAAACTGATCCAGATGCCTCTCCTAGAGTTTACGCAAGAGAATAACCATTGAAGAAATCTGTCTTAAGTAAAGGGAAAGAAGACAGCATATATT